TTTGCATGGAATGCATGCTTTTCTGTAGCAGTTGCGTTTTTGTGACTTGATTCCATACATGTACTACAATATTGAAAACCAAACTTTACTTTTTTTTAAAATACACTAAAATATTGGTGTCACAGGAACTTTTGTTGTTCAGTATGTATAACCAAAATGGTGGCAAACACTAACAGTATCATGTGAAAAATACATTGTGTTGCTTTAAGAGACATGGGCATTCTTTGTATTATGAAGTATACAATGTGAAAATATGGACACATAGGCAAACAGGTAATGATTCCCCCATGTCCACATGTGTCCTTGATCTATTCACATTAATCTGAACATGCCCAAAGGGACTGTGTCTTCTTTTCTTTGGAACATCGAACATATATATTAGCTTCAACATGACGGATACCCGTCCACCCCAGCCCCAAATACATTTGAAGGAAAACATATTCAGGGATCACAATACGTTATCGATACAGAAGCCACGGTACGATACATATCTCGATACTGCATATACAACATTTTATGCAGTGAAATCCACTCATTAGGCTGATAATTAGTGCATAGAGTCGCTCATACAGGTAAAGAAGGACAACTTGCAACTGACTTATACCCATCGATATGACACTGTCTCAAGTTAAGTATTCTGTATGAGAAAATAACGTTTTCAGCATGGCCTGTTAATTTCACATGTACAATACGGTACAACCCTCTATCTGCCATATGGGAAAAAAACATACAGCTTACTACAAAACATAACAAGAAACAAACAAGTTTATGTACTGTATTAAGGCAGGCGGCAAGGAGAAGCTGGTCAGTCTTGTTATCGTGCTGATTTAGTATCCAAAAGGTGACACAGAAAGTTGTGAGGAATTCATGAAATAGTTTGTACTCTGTTATCAATAAGGATGGAGGTTCAACATGGACAATCATTATAAGGCTAAATGTGAATCAATGGCAAATTATGTTTAGCAAGTATCATATAGAGCAAAGTTTGTCGACGATACTCACAGGAATGAAATGAATCTAAAAAGGAAACCACTAAATCATTAAATTCAATAAAGGCAATCTAGCAATTAGGGGCAGTGATTAGCAGGTTAGGCTTTCGGTCGTTATGCTGATGAGTGAGTGAGTGAGTGAGTGAGTTGGGTTTAACGCTGCTTTTAACAGTATTCCAATTATATCACAACGTGTCAGCTTAATGTGGAAGGAAAGCCCAAGTGATGCAGGTCTCAGACGTTTACCAATTCGGTGAAACCCACGAGCACGGGTATGGTGCTGACAAACCTAGAAACATAATTGGGGCGAACCAGGATTCGAACCCACAATCATATTTTTCTGGCGTGCGAATCGCGGCGCCTTAGACGACTGGGCCACCCGTGCCCCCTTATGCTGAAGATCCTAAAATAGGACCATTTCTGTTGTCTACGTGTAACATTGTTGTTATTAAGACGACAAAACACACCAGCATGTCTGTAATGCTGAAGAACCCTAGAAACATCATCAGATAGTTTCTAACCAGCGATCACAGGGTTCTGGCACGCCTTATGGATGCAAATGCAAATATTTGCGCCTCAGACATGTAGGCCCTATGACCCAAGGTCAGGGGTCCGCATCTCACTATCTAAAATATTTTACAGTTTGTCAGTTTAAAAATAACAAATTTATGTCCTAACTTAACTTACTAAATTTGGTTTCTTCCGACAACTCCAGTCTCCTTCACTCTGAGAATTGTTTGGTTTATCAGACTGCACATTCTTTGATGCCGAGCAGATCCTGCAAACCAGCGTCTTGGAATCAAATCTTACATGACTACAACTAGAAAGCTGCAAACACTTGTCAAAGCACAGTAAACTACCATATGGCTCGAATTCGTCAAGGGGAAAGTCACATTGCTCTTCTTGTGCACATTTTCTGAATACAGTCATATCTTTCTGCACATCTATGCTGTACATTACGACCCACGTCAAGGTAATACAAAACCAATGCACATGAGACATCATGGTCAACAGCTTGAACTCCTTGATACCAACACTGTCAGTTGCTGTAAAATAAACTTCTGTGTATAGAATGTAAATTTAGTACTATTGTCACAGGCGTTCACGAAATATAGTGCTAAACAACCTGAAGAAAGTTCCCATGATCTGATAACCCGCACTTCGTCACACACACACAGTCCCCTGATCTTCCTTTGCTCACGGATCACCCACTGTCGGTAGTCCCCGGTGAGCAATCGGGATCAATATGTCACATGATACCAAATTAAAATTGACTGTTAATACGAACATACATGTATCAATAAAACAAATGTATATACCATTGAGATATGTTGTGGTGTTATCTTCTTGCTATGAATGTGCTCGTCGTGAGCATTGTTAGTCAAGTCCCATTGTACACCACATAAGTGAAATGTCAGCTGGAAGATTTAACTCTCCGTCTCAAGTACCTGCATAACAGCAAACACAGATTGTTTCTGTACCATTTAAGATGCATGTTGGATCATCAGCAAACAGCGAGAGCAAATAATCAATATTATTTATTTTTAATCTCTTATATTTCAATTGTAAACGTTTCTATAATAAAGGTTGCCGATATTTCTACACATAATATAAATACTATACGGAATTAGGGGCCTCCTTGACGACATACTCTAGATATCTTAAATAGGTGTGAGCCATTTCGTTCACTGCACATGTTTGTTGACTGGATTAACAGATTTTAATCCATTTTCTTCTTGAATTTCCCATTGAAACCATTCTTAACTTTAATGTCATGATACTTCATCGGTCAACGATAGATCCGAGACTTTGCTGTTGAGCAATGAGCAGGAGGCTAAAGTAACTGAATGGAATTTTACGCAGCTTCGGCAATATTCCATCATATTCCAGAATGAAAATGGAACGTTGTATATCAGCGGAAAAAAAGAGTTTTTAAATAAAGTGGAATAAGTGTTATGATGAAACATAAAATTTGATCATTCGTCTGATCAATGTTTTGTCACAGCCAATTCAATGACAACACCCATAGCTGGTAACAGGAGATACGCCTTAACAAAAGAGAAGACACGCCCCAATATAGGGGTGGGTAACAGCTCAAATAACAATGTCAATATCGGATGAGACCACCAACTGCGTTGATTCAGGCGAAGCGGAAGTTAGGCTAGCATTACCACCTGATTCTGGTCCTTTCGTAGGTGTCGTTCCATCTCAGACATGTCTTGTTGGGGTAAGGTCTGGAGAAACAGCCGTCCGTGACAATGCAATGATATGCTGCCTCATAAAGTCGTGTTTACGGATATTAAAATGCTGCAACTGAACGTTGCACAAAGATTAGAACATGATCTCGAACGATGTCGTCCCGCCTTACACATTGTCCTTAAGTTTTGTTCTCCCGTGACTTGAGATGCCACACCTTATCATTACACTTTGACCCACAAACTGGTTACGTACGGTGCTGCCGCTACTTGACCCAATCGAAGAATAATTTTGTCCGAGCTGTTAATGTTGCAATTTGGTATCGATTCCAACCGAATATTGTTAATTGTCTTGTTGGCGTAACGTCATACATAGACGACCGCTCCTTCACAAGTCATTGGTGTTTCCCTGCTTTAGTCAACAACTCCAAAGATATTGTGTTTCGATAAACATTTAAATGTATGGTTTGTTGCTAACCTAATTTGTATGAAATACCCTTCCGTTCATACTCTTTGACGTATATATCTTTCGTCTGTATGATGTTTATTAACAGTTGTTTATTCTTAAATAAAATGACACGACCAATGAGGTCAGCGTTATCCCGCCAGCCCACGTACACACCTATATTGACAAATGTGTTGCTGGTGACATACATTATGTGTGATGCTATGACTATGATTTGTTTCATTTTTGTTTAATGAACGCCATTATGTATGATTTGTTTCACCCTTTATTTAATGAACTCTATTACGTATGATTTGTTACGCCTTATGTTTTAGGAAAACCATTTCGTGTCTTCTTCAAATTCCAATCAAATCTCTAAACTCTGTCAACGTCAGATCTGTACATGTTACTATACTCTAGTTGATAACCAAACCTCCTTGCTATATATTGTGATACAAAATACAAATCTGTGTTTTACTGCCTGTTGTTGACAGGTTTTATGAAGACTAAATGTACTATTACTATTAATGGATACATTGTCAATATAGGGCTGAACAATTGTCGAGATGACTTTCAATCTGAACTCCCCACACACTCATGTCCCGCTTAGTCAGATGTGTCATGACAATACTGCTGAGCGCATAAATCTTTAACAAACAAACAAATGAAAGATCGCGTTTATGTATAATGTACATGATTAGCCTTGATCCTTTTGTTGGCCAGTGAAGATCAAGGGTAGAATAGGTCTTCAGCAACCCATGCTTGCCGTAAAAGGCGACTATGCTTGTCGTAAGAGCGACTAACGGGATCGGGTCGTCAGGCTCGCTGACTTGGTTGATGCATGTCATCAATCCCAATTGCGTGGATCGATGCTCGCGATATTAATCACTGGATTGTCTGGTCCAGACTCGATTATTTACGGACCGCCTTCATATAGCTTGAATATTGCTGAGTGCGGCGTTAAACAACAAACCAACCAACCAACCACACAACCTTGTGGAGCTTCCACGTTCCAGTTTCGTTGTACATCCATCCATCCCTCCATCCATCAATCGATCCATGCATCCACCGATCCATGCATCCATCCATCCATCCATCCATCCATCCATCCATCCATCCATCCATCAATCAATACCTCAGCGAGCCTGACCAACCGACCCAGTTAGTCGCCTTTTACGACAAGCATAGTTGCCTTTTACGGCAAGCATCGGTTGCTGAAGATCTATTCTACCCCAGATCTTCACGGGTCATCTCCACAAGGGGCCAACAGAACATTACTGTTGATGTGTGATAGCAGTGGACAAATGAAAGCCACCACTTAACAGTTAATTAGCGTTTATAGGTAATATCTTATCTTTGTTCTCCTTACAGGTCGCCTGATGAAGAGTAAGTATATGCTCCAAAAAAGGTTGTGCACCTCATAATAAAAAGTTGAGATCCATAAAATTATCGTCCTTATGTGTATACATTCTTAATTCCATTCAAAGACTTTATACACATGTACATTCCATAAATCGGCTGAACTAACACGTCAATCGTGACTTATTGTGAAAGCAATCCATGACTAAATATTATATTTGCAATGAATGCAAATAACATTTTTTATATATTTTGTTATCATAACAGATACAAGTACATTAGAGAGATACATTGGAGAGTCAAGACATGGAAGCGACGAAACCCTTTCATAGCTACAATAAATCTCTGCTAAATGCAGAGTTCATAGTACGATTCCAACTGTATCATGATCATGTGTTCAGGAATCAAAATCATATAGTGATGACACCAAGTGAGCGTTAAATATATAAGCATTGATACAAACATGTATCTGAACTACATCAAACTCAGAAATTGTATTCATACATAGTATATTCAATTGTTTTGGCCGATTTGAATGCTTATATTTATAACGTTTATTTAGTGACCCAATATAATGTTTGTCAGATAATGTAAACTCAGTAATGCTTATCAATAGTAAATAAATATATAAACTATCAAATTGCATGCATGTCTCATCTCACGAACATATCAATTTTGTCACTGTATGAGATAATTATGTTTTTAACAAAACCAGCCAGTAACACATTGTCCTCACTGTGGGGCCATGGAAAGGCGCATATGTCTTGTAAACTTCACATTAAAAATTATAATATGTTTCTGAATGCCGCAAATCAATTCAGACGAACATCCTCCCTGATAGAAAGTTGGTTCATTTGTCCAGCAAGCTATTAAGCATATGCATGTGTAAATGCACCACCGGCCAATTATGCATATATATGTGTAAATACACCACCAGCCCATTATGCATATATATGTGTAAATACACCACCAGCCCATTATGCATATACATGTGTAAATACACCACCAGCCCATTATGCATATACATGTGTAAATACACCACCAGCCCATTATGCATAAACTTGTGTAAATAAACCACCGAACAATTATGCATAAACATGTACGTGTTAGCCCGAAAGGCTATACATATTTGAAGATAATGTTTTAAGGAAAATCATTTGCTGAAAGATGTATATTAGCATGTTGACAACGTGGCAGTCCCATACCATTTCTAATAAAGGACATAAAACCATTAATTATTTTTGGCAGAAATTCTGTCCACACCCCTCCTCCAGTTGCTAGACCTGTTGTCTCCACCCTTCCTCCAGATGCTTTATCCACCGTTCCCTACCCTCCTTCAGACGTAACATACACTGTCCCTACCCCTCCCCCAGATAATAAACCTGTTGTCTCCACCCTTCCTCCAGATGCTTTATCCACCGTTCCCTTCCCTCCTTCAGACGTAACATACACCGCCCCTACCCCTCCTCCAGATACTAAACCTGTTGTCTCCACTATTCCTCCAGATGCTTTATCCATCATTCCCTTCCCTCCTTCAGACGTAACATACACTGCCCCTACCCCTCCTCCAGATACTAAACCTGTTGTCTCCACTCTTCCTCCAGATGCTTTATCCACCATTCCCTTCCCTCCTTCAGACGTAACATACACTGCCCCTACCCCTCCCCCAGATAATAAACCTGTTGTCTCCACCCTTCCTCCAGATGCTTTATCCACCATTCCCTTCCCTCCTTCAGACGTAACATACACTGTCCCTACCCCTCCTCCAGATACTAAACCTGTTGTCTCCACTCTTCCTCCAGATGCTTTATCCATCGTTCCCTTCCCTCCTTCAGACGTAACCTACACTGTCCCTATCCCTCCTCCAGATAATAAACCTGTTGTCTCCACTCTTCCTCCAGATGCTTTATCCATCGTTCCCTTCGAAATTACGTCCTTCAGATGTTGCATCCACAGTCCCCACCCCTCCTCCAGATGCTAAACCTGCGTCCCTGGCTTCTGCAAGTGTGGGTTTCTAACGAGGGGTCGTTTCTTAATGTATTCATTGTAATTGCGACGTATTCGCTGTATTCTCGTTCGCCATTTACCTGTCCGTGATTCAAAGTTGATGTACTTTTCTTTCTTTAAAGATGATGTTTATATCTTACCATCCATAGAAATGTTTATCAGAAAACATTAAAAACCGTTAAACGGAGATTTATCAAGTCATTCTGTATAAATGGCCATGAGGCCAACAGTACAACATGTGTAAAATATGGGACAATATAATGATATGGCGCCACTAACTTGATTCTATTTTCTTTATACATTCATATAACTTCTTATTTTAAACACTTTATCGAGGAAAATACAGAGCTTTAGTAACTTATCATAATCAACTATGTTCAACAAGTTGATAAATTTGTACATATTTTGGATGATAATAATAATAATAAGTTGGACGATATTTAACATGTAAATGGTTATAAGCCGGACATACCAACACGACATGTAGTTCATCTTCAATTTGTGCATTACAATAATGACAAAATGTATCTGGTGTTTGGTACTTTCTATAAGAATTTACACTAAAACCATGGATATTACAACGTAGCTTTGTCAGGCGTCTCCGTAAACCTGCATTATTGATAAATAAGTATGTCTCGGGATTGTAGTCATGTTTAATCATTGAGTAGAATTTTAAGTATCTTGATATGGATATTTCATGGCTCCACTCGTGGAAATATACATCTTTACATCGTGGCTGAAATATTTATAAGAAGAAGTTTCTGTAATCAATTTACTTGGCTACCCACACATAACCAAAACCATATTTGGCAAAGCAGTTTCCTTACTTTCAAGACCAAGTTTTCATCACCCGATTCGTCTAATCTGTTTAACATTTCATAACACTTCTTGGTGTATCTGTGTGTTGGTTGACGGAGAAGCCTGATCCAAAATGTAAGTAATCTGATATTTGCAAATAAACATAGCGGATAACGCAGATAACGGATATTTATTTCGCCAATAAAAGAAGTTATTTAATACATAGAAGCAATTTAAGAATCGTATTACAACAAAGTGGTGATAAGGTCTACTATATTACATATTTTTTTCAAATAAATGTTATAATTTTCTCCAATAAATTAAAACATATCTTCCAGTCCAATATCCAACATTTCAAAGGCTTCCGTTTAGGTTTTTCTAAAAATCCAATCTACAGATCAAAATGCCATCTATCATGGTGGAGGTCGCAGGTGAAAGGAATCATGGCAAAATCGCTGAACTGATGAGCTAATCCTTTTCAATTTGCCATCCCTTCCCCAGGTGTCCTAACCTGGAACCACCCCCCCCCCCCCCCCACTGTCACGCATATAGAGAGTTAACCAGCACAACCCTTACTTTTATCGGTAACGTTTTTTCCTTTTTAACAATGCTATATCTATTGTCCTATTCTGAAGTATAGGTTACGTGATTGAGTGACACAGGCAGGATGACCACGACTGCACAGTGAGGCGGTATGGATCAGCTGATCGTTCAGTCTAATTTGCTTTGATCTATTAACGTTTTGCAATACACACTTGAAAATATTGCCTTTTATGTTTGACTATCACCTTTGAACATGAAATATATCTTCATTGAAGACGTAACAAAATCATGGTCGTATTAGTGAGTGAGTGAGTTTGGTTTAACGCCGATTTTAACAGTATTCCAGTTATATCGCCCCGTGTCAGCTTAATGTGGGAGGAAAGGCCGAAGTGATACAGGTCTTAGAGCACTGGTATGGTGCTGACAAACCTAGAAACATAATCGGGGCGAACCGGGATTCGAACCCACAATCATAGGTTTTTGGCGTGCCCAAGTGACGCAACTCTGCACAGCGAATCGCGGCGCCTTAGACGACTGGGCCACCCGTGCCCCCTGGTCGTATTAGGCTCTGTGCATGCATTTCAGTAGAGGGGCTAAATGGTGCTGTATGCAAAATGTGACGGTCTTATGCAACATTTGAATTTCGTCAGTAAATATTGTGAATTTTGACAGTATGTAGTCAGTACGTATGCTGTGAGAGATGAGAAAACAAAATTGTGAATGAAACATGCTCTAACCAATTATGACATGAACTATATAGCATAATAAATGTCCAAATTGGAGATGGAAGCCCATAAATATATTTGTTTCAAACACAGAAGTGCCTATATATAGTTAAGAATCATATTCAAGGTAACTTTCCATCTAGATTTTCATCTCATCAATTAAAAACAATATCTTCATAATAATTTTTAATATCTAAAACTATGATTGTATAACCAGTGTTGCAATATTAATATCTTACTGACGTGCAGTGTCTGCATCAAGTTTGCTTTGACAAGGATTACAATGATAACAATAGATAAAGGTATTTTTTTATTCCAAAACTCCTAGCCTGTTAAAGTTCCCTATTCAAAAACTGATGTTTCGATATTCCCACATGGGCGTAGTCAGTATGATTTTTTGTTGGGGTAGTTTACCACTATTAAAGTGCACAAGTATCAGAATTTTGTAAAAAATGGATCAATGAATTAACACGTGTGATGACTCATAACACTAATGAAGGAAACGTCTTCCATGGGACAGAATAATACAGGTAAATATTCCACTTCAAAGTATACACTCAAAAAAAGAAACGCAAAAGTGAATTTAGAGGTATATTTCATTTATCGTACTAATAATCAACAGACGGCAATCGATTGTTCAAAATTGGCACACATCATTGTCATTGAACCAGGTGCCATATGTCACACATGGAACAGTAGATTTTCGAGGAGAAGGAAGTCCTTTCTCAATATCTTTATGGCCCCCATGAGAGTCCAAAACTGACTGGCATCGTCGTCCCATGGAACCTATCAGATCCCGAATTGTGGTCAGGGGAATGTTCACCAACTCTGCGTGCTGTGTTTGTGCCAACTGTAGGAGGTTCTGTGCCTGCTGCTGACGTGCTCGCAATCGTTGATCAGATGCATCCCATAAATGTTCGACTATGTTTAAATCTGGTGACCTTGATAGCAATCGCAGAACCTGAAAAAGGCTGTTGTCTTGTTGGAAAATGTTGTTCGATTGTTGCATGATCATTGGAAAGACGTATGTCCGAAGAATCGTAAAATTGTGCCGTTAAATACCCCGTTACTTGCACCAGGTCTGTTACACCAGTGTAGGCGATCGCTGCCCACATCATCAACCTATCACCACCATATCTGTCCCCCCTTCCCCTATGCAATTTTGTACATAACGTTCCCCGCGACGCCTGTAAACACGACGTTCACCATCCGCACGGTGAAATCAACGTGACTCGTCATCAAACCAAACCTGTTCCCCTTGCAGTTGTGTCCATACTCTTTGACCTTAAAACCACTGACGTCACAGCCAGAGATGCAGGTCCGTCAAAAAGACACCTTGAACTGGTCGTCTAGCGCCACTACCTTCCTCACTGTGTGGCCTGATATCCTACGCAATCCTGGTATTACCGTAGTTGTAGAGGTGGCCGTGGTGGTTCTTTCACGTAAGTGACGTAGCTGGATGAAGCTGTCCTGTGCTCTAGCAGTAATACGTGGTGTATAATAACCGCCCATAGTCTGGTGCTTGGTGCTTCGGGAAAACCCTGGCTACAGCTGAAGATGATTCTCCAGTTTGCAGTCGGCTGATGGCATTGTTGCGTTGGGCTTCCGTCAGTCGTGGCATATTTTCGCCGTTTATATTTACTGTAAGATTGTGATGGCATGCAAATGAAAACCCAACATTTTTTTTAAGCCCAACATGTGATGTTGCAAATGTGAGTGAGTGAGTGAGTCAATGCTTTACGTCACATCGGCAATATTTCAGCCATATCGTGACGAGAAGTTATACATTTTTAATCCATATATTTAAACTATCATCGATGGACAGAAAAATTACTAGAATATCACAGGTTAATGTTTTAAACTAGCATACAACCATAAAAAGATATCACTAAATGAAACAGTACAATATAAAAAAGTGCTATAGATCGCCAGCATCTGAAGGTAGATCACCATGCTAGGGTCCATGGGGACTTACAGTTCTTTTGCTACCTGCATGGACCCAAGCCGGATTTATACCATCCCCTCAGCTGTTGGCGATTATTGACAAATTTAGCAAGATTAAAGGAACATATGCTCTACGATCAGTGCCATCTGTGACAAACCTCCACTCTTTGTCAACTGCTCTGGCAACCATGCTTCTTCTTCTATGGAATGTCCAAGTTGGAAACTTCAGTCTAAAATTTAAGCACGAACGCAACATCTCGTTTTTCGCTGCAAAAAAGGTTGTTCTTGATCAGGAACATCCAGGTCCAACCTATTCTACTGCTGTTTCCGCCTCTCCTTAGGTATCTAAGCCCAAACATGTTACATGTCCCTCTACGTGGACTAAAACATCTGGTCCAACGTTATTGTCTGCGGCAGTTCAGGTGAAGCCTTCACGGGTGAACTCAAGTTCACAAACAATCACCACGTCACGCGTCTCAGTCCAAGGCATCTTGTGATAAGGAATCAACATTAACTCAGGAACAGTCATCAACAAAATTAGCTCAATCATCTTACTCAGAAAAAAGTGTCAAACAAATTGTTAAGAATCTTCTAAAAGGTATCAGAGTGGTAGACCATCAAAGGGGGCAGACAACACTATCCAACTTTTACATAAGTATGGATCCCTTGAGGACATGGATGTGTCCGACATCAGCCATCAAAGGGCACATAGCTTGTCGCCCTCAAGGAAGGTGAGGAGTAGATCTCCTGTCAATCCCCCGAAAATATAGTTTCTTCAACTAATATTCTACAGTAGAATTGTACAGGGACTAATTTTAATGAATTACATCTATTAGTCAACGATTTCAATTCATCAGCATTCTGCTAACAAGAGACATATTTAAAGCAGACAGACCATTTTAACTTACGTTATCCAGTAATCAGGATTTTTGAAAGGTTTAGTAGAATCTTCATCCTCAGAAGA